ACAATTTCTCAGACATTCAGACCGGTACATGTTGTTTAATACTGTTTATTATAAACAGAACATTTACTTAAATATTTGTATCTATAAAAAAGAATATATAAACATAAACATGTTTTTATATATATATATATATATATATATATATTTATATATTTATATATATGTAGAAATGAGCTAATATAGATATATTTTCAAACATGTGTGAGCGAAAACGTACACGTGCGGGTAAGCAAGTAACTATTTAATCTTTAGTGTAGACAAAACAGTGCGCAATGTAGAGTTAAAGAGATATTAAATTTATTTATCTGTAAAGTAGATATTTATAATTACACATATAACTACCTTTACACTAGGACTAAGTTTCATGGCTTAGCCATTCACCAAGCACAAAAAGTTATGAACTGATCAATACGGTCGTTTATTTTTTTTATTTTTGGGTCTCATAGGAGCAACGCTACATTGGGTGTGGATTCAAAATTCAAGATTATTATAAATATAATAAGATATAAATATATAAATATAAATATATAAATATATAAATAAATATGAATATAAATAGATACATATATAAATAAATATAAATATAAATAAATATAATAAAAGTAAATATGAATAAATATAATAAATATAATATAGTATTGGGGTATAAATTCAAAATATGGAGTGTTTGTTGCTAGGAGGATATTAAAAAATAAACTAAGTTATTATAGTAACTTAAACAGGGATATTGATCCGTTAATGTATATTGAGTAGACAGATAAGATTATTGCATTACAAAATAAAAAAAAAGTTGGTAGTTACCAAATAAAAAAGAGTTGCTCCCATGAGATCCGGAAAAAAAACCCACCAGTTCTACCTGATGAATGAAAATTAAGCTCCACAGTATGTAAATTCAGAAGCTTAAATTCTGTGCAAAAATACTAAGACATTTTACTCTACAAATTGAATTAAACGTAAGTCCATGCCACTTTAATTGAAATCATATATAACAACAAAATTTCGGGGATTTATCATAATACAAAATTTAAAGAAAATTCCCACTTTGTTGATTTGAACAAAAAAATCTAGCACTGCAGCATCGCAAGCTCCTAACAGTTAATAAATAGCATATTTAGAAAAAAAATCTTTCCATCTACACTAGGCATATTTCGTCTTGGTATTTTGCATATATATATATATATATATATATATATATAGTAATCCGTATGGAATTTTCAGGAGGATATAAAGTCAAGGAGAGCTATATGTAACTGTCAACAAATGGCATATTTTAAAAAAAATATCTTTCCGTCTACATTACGCATTGGTGTTTATTAATATATATATATATATATATATATATATATATATATATATATATAGTAATGATACAATATAGTAATCCGTATGGAATTTCCAGGTGTGAATAGATTCAAGGAGAGCTTTATGTAACTGTAAATAAATGGCATTTTTTTAAAAAAAACAAACATCTTTCGGTCTACACTACGCATATTTCGTCGTGGTGTTTTGCTTGTAAATGAAGAAAAAAATCTACGCCATGAAGATAACAATGTGAAAGTGTTGGAAGTACTTGGCTCGTCAATTCCATCTGACAGCAAATATGAAGATCGTATTATCCAAGGAATGAATAGTATGTTAATGGTCTCAATAAGTTTTGTTAGCGAAGTGATTTCAGCATTTCTCATTAACATTGCTAATTAATTCTTCGTATAAATTTCTTCTTAATATATATATATATATATATATATATATATATATATATAGAACACGCACACATATATATAAATATACTTTTTACATATAGACATATTTGTAATATATATGCACTTGATATATATATGTATATATATCAAATGCATATATATATGCGATGCGATGAGAACGAAAGTTATATATAAATTCCAACATTCACAGCATTAATCCAAAACAGGGCTCGATACCGATAGTAGAGCGATAATTATTTATTATAATTTTATCATATAGACAAAAATGGAAAAAAAGGAAGTGACGTTTCACATACGGCTTGCCTACAAGCAGGATTGTTCATAACCATTTCCGATTCTCACCCATCGAAGTGCAGTTGAAATGCACTGAAACGAAGTTGCATCTTTGTAGTGGGCAAAATGGTTTTGTCTATATGATAAAATTATAATATATATATATATATATATACTTCACGAATTCAATCTCGCGTGGTCATGTGTGACGTCATGAGCTGCGGTGCGATTTTCATTTCTAGCGTCTTATATGCACGTGTTTATCGTTGCTTGGAAATCATCCATGTAAACAATAACAGACTATCATCGCTGTCTTGTCCGTGTATTGCTTAATATATTGTACAGTAATTGTCATCTTTGATAATGGCTTATGTAAGCCGAAAGCTTAGATTGGATTAAAAAAGTATGGATCAATATTGTGATTTTCTTTCTTCGTTTAATGATAATGTTAGTAAGCTTATCAGACGTTATGAAAAGAATTTACATAAAATAAATAGACAACACTTGTCTATATTATTTAATGAAACATGTATGAATATATATATATATATATATATATATATATATATATGCTCTCTTGTGCATGTTTTTCCTTTTTTCATTTTAGTGTTTCTTTTTAGCATTCATGTTTTTGCTATTCGATGAAAAAAAAGAACTCTAACCATTTTCAGGCGTAGAAAGACAGTTTCATCATTTTTATTTCTATGGGTCTGATATGATGAAGATATGTTTTTTCACTCAATCAGGCTTACAGGTAGTGATTCAATTGCTAAATACCTGCTGAACGCAGAGTGAGGAAGCGGAAGCTTTAGGGAATGGCGTTGAATAGAATATTATTCGAATTTTCACTCGTTCAATATGGCGTTGGTGCCGATTTTGGTCGACAGAAAAACTGTCCATTAACACTTTTGTCTTGTGATACTTTGTAATTTCTCTGTTCCCTTCATTCTTTCCGGAAACAAAAAACGACTCAGCCTCGACTCAGCCAAAAGCTAAGGATACATTAATATTAGGATTGTTATTTATCTATCGACGAGAGTATTAACTCCATTTTATTTCTAGAGACCTCACAACAGAGAGAGAGAGAGAGAGAGAGAGCAATAACACATTTGGGTAGAACATGTCGTCAGCTATAAAGCAAACACGACTTTTCGATATAGTCTCCGCTCTTGGATAAACATTTTTTCCAACGATGAACAAAAGTCTAAAAGAGAATAGAGCAAAAAATCGAGTATATCTGTTGTTTTTGCTGGAGCTGCTCAATCCGCCCTTTTTAGCTATGACAGTGTGCAAAATTATTTATGCGGTTCTTCTAGACCTTGCTCACGGCGGATCGTTAGTAACCTGTCTCTGGTCCTCAAACAAGGAAACGACCAAAAAAAAATAAATAAATAAAAATAAATAAACAGATGTAACTTACCAGTAATTTTTAAGGCACCATGTATTTTTTTGAATTGGTATGACCCCATGGAAGGTGATAAAGCCACTAAGATTCAAGGGGTTACATGGTGTGAAAGAATTAGGAGCAGGAACTTTTATAATGAGCTGGAAGAGAAAAGAGTAATCAGATTGAGATTGCATTTAAACTTTTGCAGATTAAAGTTAGCTGGAAAGTATGGAGCCGGGAGGGAGTTCCACAAGCAGGAAGTTCGAGAAAAGCAACTGTTAGCATAGAATTTACGGCTACATCTAGCCAGTTAACCCGCAAATTGATGAGGTTTTGATGCCAGTCTATTACTGCGCTTGTATTAGGTTAGTGCAAAAATAATTTCGTTTTCTAACATATGTTACTATATAAGAAAACGAAATTATTTTTGCACCAACCTAATATTTTCTACTAGTATATTTCGGATAGAGTCTTGTAAGTTTGTCTGTGTGTTCTAATAGAGCTCTGGTCAGATAGGTGTCACGAAAGGCGTCAGGATGGGGATGTAGTTGTGTGACCGATGTAATTATTTATGAATTCAGTTTGATCAGGAACACAGTTTCTTAAGGGGCATTTGATCTCAGAGTCCATTTGTCGTAATTTTAATTTTTTGTGTCCAAAAAGAAAACACTTGTTCGAACACAAGAAAAATTAAATAAAAAGCTTAATCGTAGTACCGTGTCTGTGGTCTTTAATGAAACATGTAGAAATGAAGGATTGCTGCCTAAATACACAATATATATATATATATATATATATATATATATATATATATATTTAAATTTTGGGATTTTAATAATTTTTCATAATAATAAATCATGTATCGTCCTAGAAAATTCAGCAGAATGCCGGAAAGCACTGAACGGCCCTTTCATGGGGGGTCTCATCAGCAGTGCGCATCCACTACCGAGAATTGAACCCGGACGCAAGCATCATACCATTGGGCGAGTGGGCATCAGTGTATCATTTGAACGGCAAAAATTCCCACTAACGAAAGACCCGGCCAAAGACGGGTTATACTGCTAGTATATATATATATATATATATATAGGTTTCAGTATATCAAAAAGGTGTTGTTTGTCAATGATTCTTTAAGACATTAATATTTTTACACTTCTCTTCATTCACAGAACATAGCTCCTTCTTCATTACTATTTTGACTGTAATGCTCTACCGTGAGTGGCTCACGAACCTTTATTCGATATTGATAATATGTCTTCAATTTTTGTGCATTTATCCCCGATCGGGTCGCTGATCTCTTTCTCTCAGCATCTTCATAACATAAAAATTCAGTATATTTGTTACATGCAGTGGGTAAATGTGACATTTGACAACTTCTAAAATCACATCGAACGACATTACGTCAATAGAATATTCTAAAAATCCCTGAAATTTTTTTTCGTAATATATTTAATATTTGCTACACTCGAAACATATGAGTTTTCCAAATTTGCGTATATGGAAGCAGGTGCTTGAAAGTTGATATGGGAAAAAAATTTCCTCCCTAGATTTTCTTATAGAAAGAAAGTCGTGTTTTGAACAAGGTTTGACTGTCGCATGCATCGGAACCTGTTCATATGTCATATTTCAGCGTGTTGATATCTATCTATCTATCTATCCTATTATTTTTCTATGTAATACTTTTATCTATCTATCTATCTATCTATCTATCCTATTTCTATGAAATACTTTTATCTATCTATCTATCTACCTATCTATCTATCCTATTCTTTTTCTATGTAATACTTTTATCTATCTATCTATCTATCTATCTATCTATCTATCTATCTATCTATCCTATTCTTTTTCTATGTAATACTTTTATCTATCTATCTATCTATCTATCTATCTATCTATCTATCTATCTATCCTATTTCTATGAAATACTTTTATCTATCTATCTATCTATCTATCTATCTATCTATCTATCTATTCATTATCTCTATCTATCCTATTTATCTATCTATCTATCTATCTATCTATCTATCTATCTATCTATCTATCTTATTTCTATGAAATACTTTTATCTATCTATCTATCTATCTATCTATCTATCTATCTATCTATCTCAGTCTATTCTTATCTATCTATCTATTTTGCGTTTTTCTAAACGTATCTATATAATTTCTTCTCTTTATTCCTCAGTCTATTTCTCTCTCTTTCTATATCCTTACTCAGTTCCTCTCTCTTTCATCTCTATTTCTTTATCTCTCTCAGGCTCTTCCCATCTTCTTTCTCTCCCTGTCTGTCTGTTTATCTGTCTGTCTCTCCGTCTGTCTCTCTGTCTCCCCCCCACTCTCTCTCTCTAAATATATATATATATATATATATATATATATATATATATATATATACTCACTGACATATAATACTGTCTTTTTGTATTCAATTCAACTCATCCAATTTCATTCCATTGTACTAATAGGCCCTCTTCTCTCTATTTTTCATAATTCCACAGCGATTTGCTTTCTGGCATCTTTATAACATCTTCTCTTGCTGTTGCTCTGTTTCCAAGGATTCTTATTACGTTACTTGGCAATATCGAAATGAAAGCCGCATTTTACTCATTAGCTTTATGAGAAAGCACTTTGAACCGGTCCTATCAACTGCACACCATTTGGACGCTGTTCAACTGTTAGGAAACCACAATGGGTTCTCATCTCGGATCGACTTTCACAGATCTTTAAACCGACTTGTGTGATACGACCTTTTTTTCTTTTTGCTTATGCTCATGCTTGTTAACTTACACTTCTTGTTGCATGTATATATAAATAGGTTGTAATAAATTCAGCCGAGAAGGTCGATTGGTTTCATTCTTCCTTGCCTTTTGCAGTTTTCGAATAAGTTGTCGCACATGACGATCACTCTTGGAGATAAATTGTGCAAAGATTTATGTTTGAGGACTTTGACCGTCTCGGTCATGGTCAAGAACAGGAAGTGGTAGACATTTACTGATACTCTAATCGGATTCGTTGAAGTCCACACACACACACTCACACACAGACTATCTATCTATCTGCAGAAAAATTTATTTCGGTTGAGCTCTCTGGGAAAGGAAATGTGAGTTTGTAAACAGTGACTATTACGGCTGATAATGCAAGACTCTTCGGTAAAGCGAATCGAGTTCTCTCAGTCAGTGGGTGTTTATCTAAAAATAAACACGCTTAAAATTCACCTTCTTCCCTGCCGTGCACCAACAGCTTAAGGGTAAAATCTTCAACAGACGCCAATTCAGCCGGGTTTCGTTCCTAGCTAGAGGCAACCGGACGTATAGCCACAATGATGAGTTGTGATAGAGCGAAACAGTGTCTATGGATGACAATATATATATATATATATATATATATATATATATATATATATATATATATATATTAATAAATTTTATTGTTATACGCTATTCATATATACCGAAATTTTTAAGTATCTGCTTTGTTTATAATAAACAATATTAACAACATTTACCGGACTGAATGTCCGAGAAATTTCAGAGAAAATATGTGTCCTCCAACAGGAATTTGTAATTTAGCTGATTGACGTTACATTCAACATCTCGATTCCAGAGTTTCATAGAACCTCCGGGAATTTCTCTGTCCACTCGTCAGGAGATATGAGCAATTGTGTGCATTCGCGGGTGTGTGTGCGCTTATGCGCCCGTCTTCGCGTATGTGCGTACATGTCGAATGCCATGATCATTTGTTCTTTTCGCCCTTTTGTCATTTTACAATCTCTCCTTAATCTTTTCTTTTTCCTCTTTTCTTTCAATTGTTGCCATTTAGATTCCGGTTTTCTAGACATATGCTGTTGTTAATTTTTGAGCGGTTGATTTTTACAGTGTATAGCTCAAGTCAGCTTGCTTTTCAGATTTACACGTGAGCGTTTGGTAATGACATCCAGGCTTAGCTTTGAACAAAGATAGCGCACTTTTAAATGCTATTGGGAGTACGAAATTGCTGATGAAGTTCAAAGGCTGTATCCGAGAGAGTTTCATTCAGATTTACACAATAGGCTTATAATCTCATGAACGAGAGATAAACTTTAAGCTGATTCTACTGTACATAATATGCAGATGAACCGTCCCAGAAGACCCCGGATATCAACCACGCCCTGAGAAGCAATAAAGGATGATAAAATTTTTCATAGTAGTCGAAGAAACCTGTCGAAAATTGATTGCTGCTTGTGATTCTATTGTGTTGTTGTGTTAGCAAATGTTTGGATTATAACGGACATTAATTTTAAAACATGCATGTGACAAAGCCATCTGAATATGCATTTAGAAGAAATACTGTTCTCATATGCATTATTTAAACTAAATTAAATTAAAATTCATACATTCAAATTTATTTATTTAAATTTATTTATTATATTTAAATTAAACATGTTTCGTTAAATAATATAGACATATGTCTACTCATTCTTCTATTGATCCTTTCCAGTTCTTGGTGATAAGATGAAATTCGTCAAGGAAGGTGCCGTAGTTTTTTTTTTCCCCAAATACTTTCGATTTCTCTAAGGTCATCTTCAGGGATAAATTACAAAGACAAACTTATTGTAGTGATTTTCTAAGCGTGGCTTACATGTGGCACAAGGCCGAAAGTATGGGGTACCCAGTAAGGATCGAACTCACAATTCAGTCGTAATTGTTCTAGCAAGACAAGCTTGTTAACCATTACATCACCTCGGGGTGCCCAAGACAAACTTATTGGAAGTGCGAAGAAAACTCTATTCCGCTGTGATTTTTAAAAACGCGCTCGAACATGCTCTGTTAGGTGTTTTAGAATTTAAAATTTATCCGTGGTATGAAATTTTTGGCAAAAGAACTATTACAGTGTGCGTTCGAGCATGTTTTTAAAAATCCCTGTCGCAATAGAAGAGAGATTACCGGGAGCCTAAAAAATTGAGAAGATACAATGTTTAACTGCTCTTAATTTCATCTGTACATAAGCTACTTTCTATATATGTAGGTAATAATAGTAATAATAAGTTCGAACCCCAGTGACGAAGATATTTTTTTTAACACAGATATATTAAGAATAATCTATTTTTTTCTATCAATGTAATATCCATATACAATCCTAATAATACTGAATAGACGGCAAAACATAGAAATATTTAAGTTGAATAAACCAAATAAGGTTATTACTCGCAGAGGGAGGACCATTATGTAACATTATGGCTATGAAATTGTAATAAGTAATTGTTTTTATTAAAAAAAATTTAACTATATTTTAAAGTAAGAGATAGGCTGTGTCAGCAGTTTACTCTTCATTCACTCCTTTAGTTTAACATAGCTTTTTTGTGAACAAATGAGTTATTTGAAATTTTATGTAACATAAGAAACACGGTTCATTTAAAGGTTTACAAGTTCTAGTCTTTTTAAAAAATATTTTCCATTTTACCGTTGGGGTTTTGTTAACTTCTTTTAAGTTCTAAAAATATTTAGAAAGGGGCGTCCTATTCTGTACGCGTCGTTGTTGAAAGATAATATATGTTCATATGGCGTAGTTATAACAGGAATTCCTGGTACTCCGGATATAAAATCTTTTAACTCTTGGATTTTCTATAGTAGAAATATTGCATAAGTAAAGAAGGGGATCAGTTTGACAGGTATTTTGTAATGGACACTCGTTAGGATTTCTACAGTTAAGCACGTTGGTATTATTAGCGTTTGCTGTTTTGGAATGGTAATTATTACTTAGGAGTTTGTTTTGATTTAAAATTTTATTATTATGTTTTTTTATAATTTTTTCAAGATTATCTGTACAGCTATAGTTCACATATGTATGATAAAGATGTATAATGTTTTATATATCAAGAAAAATATTGGTGGAATAATTATATTACAATTTCATAGCCATAATGTTACATAATGGTCCTCCCTCTGCGAGTAATAACCTTATTTGGTTTATTCAACTTAAATATTTCTATGCTTTGCCGTCTATTCAGTATTATTAGGATTGTATATGGATATTACACATTTTCAATTTTATCTACAGGCCCCTTTAAGAAGCTACCTGAATATAAAAAAAATTAACTTTACGTCCTCTTCAACAAATAGTACGTCATATTTGGCAACAATGACGATACATTTATAGCTGCCATATTCTGCACAATCGTCAATGATGCCATGTCTATGTGCCGTTTATCGTGACATGAAAAAATAACTCAACCACCACAAACCTCTGACCTTATTTTTCTATTTAGCATAGAACTAACATTTAATTGGTTAATCGTGATATGCCCACATGTGTATTTTTAATTCTGACCTTATGTCTCCCACCTTTAAATTTGGGAAAAACAGGTAACGATTTGTTTTTAAATTTCCCTAAAATATCATTTAATCACCAGTTACCAACGATCCCCTGAAGAAGTACTATCATAGGATTGAAACATGAAAGCGTTTGTGTAGCGATTTAAAATATTGTTTATTATAATCTGTTATAATAAAATATATAATAATAATATTTTGCTCTACTTTGCATTGAGCACATTTTTAAAGGCAAATGCTACGAACTGTGGATTTTTACGCCATTTGTTCTTTTTCTCTCTCTCTCTCTCTCTCATATATATTTATATATATATTATAATTATTTTTTTAAATATATATTATAATTATTTAAAAAAGTTATAAAAATAATTATAATTTAAGCTCTACTTCTGTATGGAGCACTGTTTTTTAAAAATAAAAACAAAATACTACAGAACTCCGGATTATTTACCTAACTTGTTCTTTTCCTATTTTTTACATACCTCCATATATATATATATATATATATATATATATATATATATATATACACACACACACACACACACACATATATATATATATATATATATATATATATATATATATATATATATAATATAGGTGAAAACTCACACCAGTGTTAAATAGGGATAAAGAGAGAGAATTCGAAAAAATATAGGCAGTAAATTGCTGATAACCCCTGAAGAGTGGACAGACAGGTCCGCCTACGAAATGAGCTGGGATGTTGAAGATAACATCAACTAGCTGTTACTTACTAACTTTTACTCGCATAAATGCTATATATATATATACATATATAAAGTTCAAATAGAAAACTTAGCCAATTTCAATGTATCGGAACTATCCGATACGGAACTAAAAGTTAGCTTTGGCCTAAAATTTGCCACTGGAATATGAATAGAGGATATTAAAGATTTTATATTAAAATCTACCAACGAAATAACACGGACTTCAGCAAAGGTTACCTCGAATGTTTAATACCAGCCACACTTCAAACAACCCATCGGTCTATGTCAATTCCACGCCGACATATGAAAG